GAACTGGCACTTACTAATAACGCCATAACATGACAGAAAAAAAAACAGCTGTTTGCGCAATACGACCACGGCGATGATGACAGATGGCAGATGTTCACAAACAAAAAAAAAATGCAAAAAAAAGAGGTGAAAACACGGGAAAAAGAGAAAGCACTCACTGTAGTCGCCAAAACGTCATTTTAAGCTGTTGCGCAGATTTGACTGATCATCGGATCATTTGAAGGCGTTCCATGTTCGAGACATGCCATTAACCAATAATGAATCGAACATGACAGATCCGGGTAAAGAAATGCTTTGGCGACGAAATTTGCGTGCGAGTCAATCAAGTGTGCCTATAACTCTATAAAAAGAGAAAAATACTGACTCCCAAAATCATTTCTTTCAGGTATCTCCGAGTTAAATCCGATGAACATGTACACCAAGAAACGAAACCAGCCTTCGAACACAACTGCCTCCGACGACGGCAAGAGCGTAAATGAAAACTGCTGCGGAAGCGGTGCTACTGCGGTGCAACATGTCACAACATGTTGACGCGGCTAACGAGGGAATGGTCAGAAATCGAAGTGGCCAATTCAAGCAAGCTGCATACCATTCGATGCAGCATAGAATGCTGATTTCAGATCCGTCTTCCTTATCTGCAGAGCGCCTTTGTAGGCGAAGTTATAAGCCGTTGAATGTCATCATTTTGCTAAGAAATTGTGCGTGTAAAGGTCAAACTTGGCCATACAAAGCCATTCTCGGCTCAGTGTTGGACCAAAACGTGTAACTAGGTCAGTTCATATGGCTCGTACCTAAAGGTGAGCTAAAAGAGCAGTGATCTGCCTAATTTCGCAGTTTTTGTGGACTATTTTTTCGCAGTAAAGCTGCTCATAACTTCGCCCACAAAGGCGCTCTGCAGATACGGAAGACACATTTGAAATCAGCATTCTATGCTGCATCGATTGGTATGCAGCTTGTATGGATTGGCCACTTCGACTTCTGACCATTCCCTTGTAAGATGTTCTGTCAACATGTTGTGGCATGTTGCAAACATGTTACAACCACGTTGCCAACATGTTACCATGTTAGCTGGATGGCGAGATCGCGACTCCCGGTTTTCTCCCGCTTCATTTTTTGTGTCGGGATTGTCCCGAAGTTCGGGACAAAACCGGGAGTCGCGCAAGACTCCCGGTTTTCTCGCGATATCTCATTTTGTGGGCGGATCTCCGGCGGGACTTAACTGCGAATGTCTGAGTCTATTTTCCACCTAAACTGAATTTAAACTTGCTCATATCCAACTCACAACTAGCTGCAATGCCCCGAGTACTACCCTTTCGTCCACTGTTTTTGATGCATCTCCCTTCGGCAGCTTACAGTCTAAGAATAGCGGAGAAAGCCAGGAAGAGATTTTATTTACTCTACCCAAATCTACCTCCGTATGTGCTAAACGATTCTCTAACAAGGGAACGATCCCAACTTAAGGTGGCGAATTGGAATGAATCTCATATCATTAGATGCGTCTTGATGAGCTGATTGCAAATCTACCTTCCATATCTGCGACAACGTTATCTGGAAGAAGTTATGAAAGGTTAAAAATGTGAAGTAACGAGGGTTTTAGTGCATAATTCGCTTCAAAATTCAACTTGGGAGTGTATGACTAGCATTATATTGAGTGTACTAATTTCAAGGAATGCTCACACTCTAAAGAAACATAAATAAGTGTTTTTGAACAACTGATTTTCGAGGTATTGCGCTGTATATTTGTCAAATTTAGAGTTTTCATTGCTCATAGCTTCTACCAAAGAACTTTAGTTCCTTTTTAGCTGGTCAAAAACATTTATTTGCGTTTCTTTTGAATGTGAGCATTCCGTGGAATCAGTACACTCGATATGATGTTAGTCGTGCACCTCCAAGTTAAATTTTAAAGCAAAGTATGCATCAAAACCCCCGTTATTTTACATTTTAAACCTTTCATAACTTCTTTCACATAAGTTGTCGCAGATGTGGAAGGTAAATTTGGAATCTGCTCATCAAGAGCATCTAATGGTATGCGGTTTATTCCAATTCGCCACCTTAAGTTGGGATCGTTCCCTTGTAAGACCCGTATGCACGTACATCCCCGCTGGGGAGGGGATCTGAGAGGGGATGCGTTATAACTCGCTACTCTACGTATCTTTCTTCTTCATTTTCTATCCTGCTTATGAAGGTTCTCATACCCTTATACCTGCGCCTAATGGATGCCAGGTTACTGACGTGATTGATTAGATTTTCATTATTTTGTGTGATCCCCAAGGAATCACCTCTCAATTTCAATGTCATTCTCCCTGAAATCCCAATGAAACGCTGTAAAAGTGTACTGTGGATATACTACGGCGCTGCTAAAGATGACTAGGTAGAAACAAGTGAAGTCTTAGGATATCGAAATCTTCGGTAATTCCTAGCTCGTGAGCTAGGGATCATCGAAAAATTCACAATCTTCGAATTCCATTTCTTCTGTCAAAAATATGCTTAGCAGTGCCGTAGTATATCCTCAGTACAATTCTACAGCTTTTTCATTGATTTCTCAGCATTATAAATCACTTTGAATATGAGGGGTGATCCCCAGAGGATCCCCTGGGGATCCCCCGGGAGTTACACAGAATGGCAAAAAACCAGTCATGTATGGAAGTAACCTGGCTCCATTATGCGCAGGATAAGTGTATGAAAAACTTCAAGCAATATAGAGAAAGAAGAAGAAAGATACTAGAGTAGCGAGATATGTCGCATCCCCTCTCAGATACCCTCCCCTCTTAAACGGGGATGTACGTGCATACGGGTCTAAGATAGTACGGTAGTTTGAATTCATTTGACAAGCACACATTGGAATGCTTTTGATTAGCGGTGAGAAACTACCTTTTTTTGTGAATGTCTTTCTTCCCTCTTGTCAGTATACTCAGTCAGCGTCTTTCAAATGTTGTTTCTCTAGGCTTAACTGCAAAGCACATTAAAGGCTCATGACTTCTTTCAGGGTGTCTAACAGATAAGAAATGTAGTTCCGAAATCAGCTATTGAAGTTGCTTTCGGTAATGTCATCTCTTTTTTTGATCGTGCGACTCGTGATCTTAGAGAGTAGCTTGTTTATAAGACTCTACCTCTCATGTCAGATTCATGAAATACCTCTCATGTCAGGTTCATGAACCAGCGAACGACCGCGCACACAGCCTCAAAGCTAAAAATCACCACAATAATTCATACGTTCTCCTAACTTTTTCAGTCACAGGACATTAATATAGATTCCACAGCAGTCTTATACACAGACGTCAAACTTCTTTTCGACTGTTTCTGAATGCGCCCATTGAAGTACGCTGTGGCTCATTGTACACACGCGCCTCTGTGTGTGGCATTCTTTCACTTTGTTACTTCTTTACTTTATCATTCTCAATATGGTCTGCTTATGACTTATCTCCGTTGCACCACATCGTATTTATCAGACGAAACATCATGCCAGGATGTATCTACCAGTATGCTACTATTATGTGATTTAAACAGTATTTCAATATTTTTCAAAATATGGTTCACGATTTCAAAGCTTGAAATCTCGCAAGAGGTCGTCCACCTGTTATCAATGTTCGTCGCTGCTATATGACTTTTGTTTTTAAAAGGCTTTTTCCATCGGCCTATCAAACCATATTGCATGTTGAGAGCCTTTACCGTAGTCCTACAGAATGGAGAGCGAAGTGACACGCTTTATACTGCAAATCGAAGTTGAAGCCCCAGCGCTCCACAAAATATTAGTTTGATGCATAATTCCTGCATCATAATAGGGACACGGAGCTAGCTCTACAAAATGTGCTTAAACTTTTGCAGAAACTTTGATCCACGCGGAGATTGAAGCCAAAAACGAAAAGATCCTAGCAGATCCTAGTGTCCCATAAAAACTAAGAAAAAATTGGAGGTCCGTTCAAAAGATATTTTAAAAATTCTAACATGCTCGTGCAGTAGTATTTCATATAAGACATTGCTCTGTCACTTGCTGTATTTTTCTCTCAGCTAGAAAATGGGAAAACAGTGTGAATTTTCAGCATTTCATAACAATTGCTTTACGAGAAATATTAGGTTTTTGGCAACTACATACGCGAGAAAAATTCGGATAAGGAGTGCTAGATTCGATTATTTCTCGTAAACTAGCTCTTCTAGAAGGTTGAAAATACGGGCATATAGTATATAACTGTAAGTGCTAGAACATCTCAACACTGATTTGGCAAAAAATCAAAAACCTTGCTTTCCTATCGTCTAACTGGAAAAAATACAGCACTGCATATATAAATATCCTACATGGAACGCCTACGCTTGTGCAAGTACGAACTTTTGTAGGACTTTTTTCCCATCTGGGCTGCAATTTTATTTCGATTTGGCTCAAAGTTGTCGGGTGCATGGTTTTTTTCAGTCTTCGGCTCTAAACTTCGCGTGGATTAAAGGTGGTGTAGGTATTTGAGCGCCATCTTGTATCGGTTTGGTCTATCTAATAGTATATCAAATCCTATTTAGGATACAAGAGAATTCCGGATTATTGCGGTCTGTACCTATTTTGGTGCAGGAATAATGCATCAACCCAATAGTACTAAAGATCGGCAAGAAACTATGTGAAAGAGATTTACCAATGATCATATACGTGTACATACTTTTGGAACGATTACAGAAATCTGAGGCAAATATTGGAAATTGTTTGGAACGAATTCTATCAGCACATTTTCGCTGGAAAAATGGTCATGTCTCCCAAAGTGCTAGACATCAACAATCGATTTCATGAACTTTCTGTCTCAGCCGCTGTTTGTCGTATTCAATCGGAGTAGATTTATCTAGCAAGCTGTATCCCTGAGCATTACTGATTCAATTCCGGTCCTTTTCTTGATCTGCGAATTCACATTTTGAGTATATTTGTGGCACAATTCTCAGTTGTTCCATTTTTTCATTCCAGTTCGGTAGTCGTTCTACTCAATAATCTGCTTTGAATCTCTTCTCACTTTGCTACCTTGCAGGTGTGCGTGTGCATATTTTATCTCCACAATCAGCTGCAGACGCTTTCTTTGAATGTGTTAAAATGCTAGGATACGCTGTGAGTCTTTCTTTGAAATTTGAGTGCTTGAATACATGCACGCATTTTCGGATCGTACTTATGACAGCTTTATTTTGCACTTCCGCTGCTTGCAAAGGATTGGATACTATACAGGTCAGAATATGCTCTTCCCTATAAGCGATTGATTACTTTCTTTAACACGTTGACGACCGCGCCATTTTGGGCGAAACTCCCATTAACGTTCCTTCGCGCATTTGGCCCGTGCATACGCGCGGATGCACGAAAACATTATGTGGGAGTCCCCACATTTTGACGCTTATTTATAAAACATGTGAACTTTATTCAGAGATACATGTATATCACAGAGCCTTACCAGAACTCACACAAATCAAGGTTTTTGCATGGATTTTTCCTCCCAATAACCGCGCAATCGCTATATTGAAGGAATTTTTTTTTCAAGAGAAAAACGCTGTAATACCAGGTATTTTCTGCTTGATTCATCCTTTTTTGCTTTCAAAACAGCTTTACAGAGTTTTAACCTTCTTGAAAAATACGTAACTAGCATGTGTTTACCTTACCAAAAACCAACTGATTACCCAATTTTGCGGCCCAAACTTCTGAACAGCTGCCGCGATGCCCTGTGTTCTGTAAGACTATCAGGCCACCAGTTGTATTACTGCATAGAAGTTACCTCAAAACTTTTCGTTCACACCTAAAAAACTAGCGTGCATATGCGCGGATGCACGAAAATGCTAAACGGGAGTTAGGACGTGCATACGCGCGGATGCATACGGTCGTCAACGTTCTAAATTAACTTAATTATTTTTTCGAAAACATTTTTGCTAGAAAGGCAGTTAGCAGTTTCCAAGAGACCATCGATTTTCTCCTTCGCCGAAGAAAAGCAATCCATCTGCTAAAAATTGGCGCAATACGAGTCAACGATCTGAAATACTGAAGCTTTACATATGAGTTAAGAAGAATACTCAAGTAAGCCACATTACAAATACCAACGTTATGCAGACCCAAGAGGGGCAGAACCAGGGTCGAGCAAGAGGTGCGGCACTTAACTGCCGAAGAAGATTCCCGCCCTCCTCCCTAAGTTCTTAATACCCCTTTCCCCGCAATATCGTTTGCCTACCGTAGGCATGACATAAAGGCTTTACCAAACATAGTAACATAATCGTAATTATCATGCCGACTCCTATGGTAGCGAATTTTGAGGGTTTCCGATACTAGGCCACCCAAGTGAAGTGGTCATTTCCAAGCATGGTTGACTATATCCTCAAAAGTGAATTAGCTACCTCTTTTTGTACTCCCTATTTGCCTACATAAACTCTCCTTCAAATAACCATCAAACTATGGATTGGGAGCCAGCCAAAGTCCCACTTGTTTCATTTTTATTACAGCAATTGTGGTTCCAAGTAGCTATCGCGCAAACGAAAAAGGAATTCAGCTCTAATCATTTCTATAAAAAATACGAGATTTTGGCTAATGTATATAATTTGTTCGCTAGAGTTCTCCTTGGAAATCTGGCACAACTAATCTAATAGAGTCTGGCACAACTCCACAGAAGCTGTGGCCCTTTTCAGGGGTTGCGCCAACACCACTGACTTACCTTCAAGTCATTCAAATATATGTGTTACTTATATCGTTGCCACTGGTAAACCTTCTTCTAAAACCTTGGCTTCAGGGGTTATTTGAACGCTGATTACGAAATTGATGCTCTTATGCTTTTAAGGCTCTTTTATTATGCTTACAGCACGTATGCGATGGTAGGCCAAACATCAATGTGCTGCTATCTTGCATACAGTCTGCCCCAATCCTAACCAGGCCAAAATTGGCATGGCGGGAGACCGCGTCGCTAGGGTTTCGCGGTCACGCCCACGGCCTGCTTCTTTGCCCTCTCTTCAATCTTTTTGCTCTCTCCGACAGCGCGCACATGCAGCGCAGACCGCTAGCGCTGCGAGTGCGCAAATTTACGCCGACGGTTCGGCCTGGTCCCGATTGGTGCAGACTGTAATGCCTATCTGACATTGTCAACGAATAACATGTCATCGCCAAAATTGGTATCACCTCGATAAAACATCCGCTCCCCCCCCCCCCCGCCCTTCCCCCATTTCTGACCCCTCAATACGATTTCCAGGCGTGGCATGCTACACCCCACGTTTGACCTTGGTCAGAACCATATCAGCCTTCAACAAGATTTCATAATCTTTTTGCACTTGCCTCTTTTATCACCAGATGCTACAAAGACCTTATATAGTTAGATTAAGGGCAGCTTGGAAGGATTTCGTTTTCCAGCTTCTCACTTCTTCGGAGCCTCCTCACCATGAGGTATTCATATCCGGGCTTTTCAACGCATGAAAATGGCGAAAATGAGCTTTTTCGAAGCTTTTCCGCATTCAGTGATGAACGCCTGAAGTCTTCCGCGCCCCGTCTCCCTCGTTTCGGGTCCCCGCCTACTTGCACGTATTCTCCATTCAATGCGGACCTGGAAAGCTTCGAAAGAAGCTCATTTTCTCCATTTTCACGCGCTGAAAAGCCAAGATATGGGTTGCTTAGGCCTCGGGTAGAGTTCACGCGATTTCATCGTCGCGATTGATCGCAAAGGACCACTGTAACCTTATCATTGCATGCCGATCTTCTAGCATTTCGGTTGTGATCTTTTCAACACAATTAATCGTGACTAACTATCAAAGCCGAAATATAAGAAGATCGGCATGCAATGAACTAGTAGCACTTGTCTTGTAGCGATGGATCGCGACCTTGAAATCGTGTGAACTCTGCCCGAGGCCTAATGGCGAGAGGTCTCCGAAAGGTGGAAACGTGGTAAACGAAACTCTGCCGAGACACTGCCTTCAAGCAATGCAACTGAATGTTCTTGGCCTAGCACAGTGATGGTATTCTTCATTGGCCTAGGTCTCCAATTTGAAAGACGTCGGTTGTTAGTCTAAGCAGATGTCAAAGTTTATTCTCAACATAGTCTGGACTTTTGTTTACCAAACTGTAGAAGTATATGTTCAGATGTGATATTCTTTAAGGATTTATCCACAGACGATTTTCGTTGCCTAAAAAACAATGGTTTTACATTCTATGTCGGTAGAGTGTGGAGGAGTGTAGGAAATTACGATACGAAGGGCATGCAGAACATGAAGAATGCGCATAAAGGTTTCTGAACATTTTGTTTGAGCTAAGCTACTTGTTTTCCTCACTCTGTCGGCAGGCTGAAACATTGATGTTATGATTTCAGCTGGTTTAAGAGTCAGCGCCTACATTTTTCCTTGTTTAGCAGAACATTGTGCGCCTCCGCAAAATCAGGTATGTTGTAATCCAAGTTTAGATTCTGTGTGCCTGCATGCTACACTAAATTACATTTACTTTGCCTTATTCAGCGAGGAGCTCAAATTTGCAGGTTGAGGCTGCCATAAACCGTATGAGATCAGAGGGCGTTCCATTTGATACGGTATTTCTGGACATAGAGAAATTCGACTGGTCAAATGATTTAGGAGCGAATCGGAATACCATCAATGCTATGGGCAACAAATTAGAGGTAAATACACAGTCTTCTTTCCTTAAACAAGAACTTCTCCTTCTCCTTATATACTCAATGATCGAAGCTTTTTTCTAACGTCATCGAAGTGGTGCTTTTAGCTTGGGCTACCCTTTAGTAAGAAGTCTTGGTAGAAATTACCGACTCTAACCTCTCCCAAACAGGCACTCTCACTAATAGCCGTTCATAAATTGCTATCAATAAGAAAAACTACCGATTAATACAGCTGACCTCTCGACCAAACACCTTGACTCACTCCTGATGGAATCAAAATTACAACATTATGGAAGCTTATTTGCAAATCTTCTACGAAGACTCACACTTGATCAGTTTTTCCAGCTCAAGCGCGCCCCGTACTTCCTTAAAAATAATAAAACTTACAAATTGATAAAATTGAAGCACTTTTAGGAAATGGGTGTCGACTGGGGGATCTACACAAACAAAAATAATTGGAAGAGTATCGTCGGTTTAGAATATGATCAGTGGAAACACAAAAAACTCTGGTGGGTCTACTGGGGAGCGAACGATGGAACACGAGTGAGTCGATATTTTCTCTTTTTAATCGGTTATCACTAATAGGAATATTTCCAGAAAAGCGATTTCACGCCTTTTGCTGGATGGTCGAACTTTTACATACAACAATATGCGGGAGATGTCAATGGACCTTGCGGAGTTAATCTTGATCTTGATTACATCGAACCTAAATAAGAACTGAATTTGAAGCTCCTTGCGGCATTATTACAAGCTTGTTGCCAAGAATACTGAATCTCAAATTGAACAAATTCACTCAAATTTTCGTACAAATTAAAACGGGTTCAGAATTCTCTTTCTGCGAATGTTTGACTACATTCTATAGTTTTCTATGACGAGGGTAGAGCCAACGCCAATTTGACACATTTGTTTGTAGCTCTAACTCATCGATGGCTCGTTCTTGCATCAATGCCCCTCTAAATGATTTCTTTTGAAGGCAGCGTCCGGGCAAAATTTCAAACGAAAATTTTTTCGCTTGCTTTGGCTTATTCTTCCCGGTGATTCCTAAAGTGCAGCTGATTACGAAAATGTCAAAAACGGGCTATTTCAGAAGCTGTTGATTTTGAATATAGAAGCTTGCCGCGGAGGTTAAAGGCAGCGTCCGGGCAAAATTTCGCCTTTCGTGTTTCTGCCATGGGGCCTTTCCGTTATTACAGTTGTGAAGTCCAAATTGTTTAAAACTCCCAAAAAACCCGGTTTTTGGGGACCCTCTCTTCAGAGAGCGGACGAGTCGAATTGCTCGTCTCCATCGTCATGCAGCGGGAGGAGCTGCAACTGCACATACACTTCGGGGCAGGGAGCCGTGTCGCTACTTTTCGTTATCGATCGATATCGATTTTATCGATTTTTTGCAAAATTTGAGCTACGGGGCTGGGAGTTGGCAGGGGTAATCGAGCATGCTGATTACAAATATGTTATTGACAGGGCCGGGCGGAGCCGGGTTTGCCAACTAGTTTCATTTAACACATTCACGACAGGGCCGATTTTTCGCTGACTGCCATTTCGGACCAGAGCATATTTCGCAAAATTGAGTTTGCGGAATATTTTTAGGTCACTGATGGGCCTTGTGGTCGGAAGTGTTAATCTTTTGGGAAGTACTCTAAGAGATGTATGCAGAAGTTTACTCGGCTTGTCTAAAAAGTTCAACCGTGAACTAGCAAAATCAAAAACTTCAAAAAGCATACGACCCACCGGTGGGTCGTATTGTCCGAAATGGCAGAACACGTACGACCCACCGGTGGGTCGTATTGTCGTGAATGTGTTAAAAAGCGATTTTGACTTTGGGTCCTTCCCTGGTAAATAAGGCTTATTGTTAGTAGCCGTTTGAAGACAATGAGCAATTGAGCTACATGTTTAGGTAAAATTCTTTTGTTTCCTAGGTAACTCTGACCAAGCGACAATAACCCAGTCATCCTCAACACTTGCTACGCACATAATTATCAGCTACAAATCGACAGAATATAGCCAGGGCTCAGCACGAGGTGGCTTTTCCATTCTTTTGAAAACGAAGTCCCCCGTTGACTTCGCCCAAACATACGACATCCCCTATGACCGTTTATGAATGAAACGAACAAAAATAGCAAAGAAGCATACGAGAGCAAACAAAAGGGTACGAAACAAACGGTAAAAAATCAGTAATGATGTTCGTATTCTCCGAATTGGTGGCATACATTGTCCAGCGGGCACCATCGCGCGCCTGGAGCAGGAATGCCGCCGCCATACAAAATCTTTTGAGGGCTGTAACTAAGCGGGGAGAAATGCGTTTGGAAAGCTTCAAGAACTCGTTTGTAGTGTTTTGGATGTAGATTGAAAGTATCTAAAAAGCTTGAAAAATTATGTGAAGGGGGTGAAACTTATGACTCTTTTTTACAGGAGTTAAGCCACTTAACCCCAAAAGAAGTTTGCCGCCACTTTAGTTCACATAGCTTTTTCATAATTTTTGCACATAGTACTATCCCCCCATTGCCCATCTACACACCCATCTTGGTGTTATTTCATTTTCACTTCGCTGTAAACAAGCCCTTTGATTGTTTGGGAGACCATGCTGCCGGCATGCCGGCAGCGTGCCGGCGGTAGATCGAAAACAGCGGTATGTTCTTCCGCAAAAACGATATCCCCTTTGCTTTTGACCTCCTAAACGATATCCAGCTCGCCCGGTAAGCCACCTGTGCCGAACCCTGAATATAGCGATTAATTTTTTTTGCGGAAAACTGCAGCAAAAAAACCAGCAATGTTTGATCCACTAAACTATTCGAATTATTCGAATAGTTGAATATTCGGAAAGATATGATTATTCGAATATTCGAGGTCGAGTAAAGTGCGGTTCATAATTATACGAACACCCAAAATTTTGTAAGTTTTCGGACTTGGGAGGAACTCAAAAAGCCGCTGGTACCACGCGATAGAACACAGCCGAAAACGGTATATGATTCATAAGAATGGAAATCGATGTCAACTGTAGGAGTGTTTTTGCGCCTAATGCGAATTTAGCGGTTCATAATTATACGAACACCTCAAACAAAGGTCCATTTTTCATTCAAGATTGCAATCGTTTGAGTTTGAATTTTTTGAAAAGTTATAGTAACAAAGTCTGACATATTTGCTACACACTGAACCAGTCAGTTCAAAACGAGGACCGTTACTTTTTTCAGAAGGCTCTAAATGCTTTTGGAGTGAATGGGCTCCAAAAACATCCGTTCTTCTGTGATTTACGCGCTCTAATTAGCTTCTACCAAAGCTATTAGATAAAATAAGCTCTTTCGATAGGTATTTTGTTTAACGCTTGGAAAATCTTTGCGTTTTCGTGCCGTTTTTCAACCAAGTTCCAACCTCACCCTAAAGTTAGCACGATTTCGAGCCTCAAAACTCAGCTTCTCTCTTGCGCAAACATCTGATATGAAGCAGCTGCATGATAATGTTTTTGTGCCAAAGTTTTTGGGTTTTTTCTAGAACTGGTCTTGCGGCTGTGGAGCTACAAACCAAATAAATGTGTGATTGCAATAGCAAGAACAGTATTTCTGGTGAAATAACGTCTGCGTGACCAAAACAAACGCTCAATGCTGCCGATTTTTTCTAGCCAAATATAAAGTCTTGTGAACTTATACATACTATATGCTTACTTCATTGTACGGCTTCAGGAGCTGAGTTTTGAGGCTCGAAATCGTGCTAACTCTGTGGGGTTGGAACTTGGTTGAAAAACGGCACGAAAACGCAAAGATTTTCCAAGCGTCAAACAAAATAGCTATTGCAAGAGCTTATTTCATCTCACAGCTTTGGTAGAAGCTAATTAGAGCGCGTAAACGACAGAAGAACGGATGTTTTTGGAGCGCAATCAATCCAAAAGCATTTAAAACTTTTGAAAAAAGTACTGGTCCTCTTTTTGAAATGCACTGGATTTAGTGCATAGCAGATATGTCAGACTTTGTTACTGTAACTCTACAAAAAATTTGGACTCAAATGATTGCAATCTTGAATGAAAAATGGACCTTTGTTTGTGGTGTTCGTATAATTATGAACCGCTAAAAATTCGCATTGGGCGCAAAAACACTCCTACAGCTAACATCGATTTCCATTCTTATGAATCATATACCGTTTTCGGCTGTGTTCTATCGCATGGTACCAACGGCTTTTTAAGTTTCTCCCAAAAAGTCCAAAAACTTACAAAATTTTGGGTGTTCGTATAAATATGAACCGCACTTTAGTCGAATATTCGGAAAGATATGATTATTCGAATATTCGAAACTCGTTCGTTCAAATTTGATGTAGCATTATTCGAATACTCGAACTCGAATAATCTGAAAAATCGCAGTTCGAATAATATTTGTTCTTTCGAATATTTTTCAAAGCCGATATTCGATATTCGTTCGTAAGACGAAATTTCTCGGTGGTTTCAACTACACTGCATAACACCACAAAAATTCTGCAGTAGCTTGCACATGTTTGAAAATGCAATTTTCGAGTGCGTTTAAAACCATTATCTAAAAGAAAATCGCGCCGAACGGTGAAGAGAGGAGAAATGCCTGAAGAAACTATTTTTCTCTTCCATTTTAAACCTTTCTAGGACTTGTACGAATTCTGATGCTGCCAAAACCCACATTTTCTTTGTTAGACTTCAACGAACCAAAGCTGATAAAAAGTGCTCCTCGTTATGAATCACTTCGAAACCATTTGCTCTCCAATTAGCTATATTCTTGGCATCAATGCCCATAAAAGTTTTCTCCAGGTCCGCCGAAGTCCTTCGTATTGCTATATTTCTAAGTACCATAAAAAATCACGTGTAGGATCCATTTCAAGAACTGTTACCAAAAGAACGAAAGTGTTGTGCAGCGGAACATTCACCTTTAAAGGCAGCGTCCCCTAAAATCTGTTCACCCCAGATTAGTACTCATCCTACTTACCTTAAAAGTAGACCAACCGCTTTGATCTGGTCCCCTAATGTTGCCCACAAAAGGAGATAACGGACCTGGATCCTCTTTGCGCTCCGCCCACTTTCTTACGCTCCACCCACCTACAGTTATTTATTTTATCTCTTTATTTATTTATTGATACGTGCAAAAACACGTGAATAGAAGTAGTAAAAGGAGAGTCTTGCAATGGTAAAAACCATAGAATCAGTGCATGAAAAAGACATCAGCAAAGGATATACATATAATAAAATTACAACACAAGACAATGAATTGGTTTCGCGATTAGGAAATAGAACGATTTGTAGTAAAAAATTTAGCTGATGTCTTTTGAAGAGCATCTTGTGCCAGTAGCCTGTTAGAAATGGCAATTATCCTCACAGTATAAAAATGGGACCTAACAAGCGATTTTGTCATGGGAGCTCTTAGTTTTAGTGAACCTCCTCTAGTTTTGGAGTTGTAAACGTTGAAGAATTTTAAAAAAATCAATTTTGCATCTTCCTGTTAACATCTTGAGAGCCATGGAAAGGTCAAATTTTTTCCTTCTGTGGGCTAAACTAGGAAGAGACAACACTTTATTGCGTTCATTGCCCCTGGGTCTAAGAGAGTAATTGGGACCTGAAAGTCTCAGAAATAACTTTTTGGTAAAGTTGTTTTGCACTTTCTCGATATTAGCAATGTCTCGAATCTTATATGGAGAAGTAACTGTAGTACCAAGTTCAACAAAAGGACGAATGTACATCTTGTAGGCATTGATCAAGACTTTAGCGTTTGTGGTTCTGAGGGCCTTGAATAGATTGTAATTTTGGGAAAGGGCTTTAGAGACAGTGCTGTTGTAGTGAGATGTAAATTGAAGCTTTTCGGAAAATGCAAAACCTAAATCTTTTACTTTCGTATCTGAGTCAATTTGTTTCCATTCAGGGTATAAGATGACTCAACTTTTTTGACACCCAAAGACA